TACGCTTTCATTATATATATATTCATTATATATATATATAGCTCAGAGCTTCGTCGGTGTTCTATTATGATGCTGAGAAAAACAGGTACTTACCAATCAAAGGCCTGTTCCGGGCTCTACTTCTAAATTTTCAACTCCAAAGCCTGTTTCAAAGACCAACCACGTACTTTTTTCCGTTATGTTCGTCTCTATGGGCTTTACATGTTGATTTTGCTCAGCTAACTGTCCATTTAGAGAGCCTTTTGATATCCCTTTTCAGCACTGTTAAATGGGATTCTGTTGCTCTTCTAATTTCACATGTTGAGGAATTGTTATGTTAAAATTTTGGGATGAAATATTGCTTTTAAAGAACACTGCATGCTGTGGATGGACTTTCTGTTTTGATGTTGAGTGATTAAAGACTAAGCAGTCTGGATTGAGCAATCCTAGATTTTTCTGTGATAATTGATTGTTGTGGAATTGTCACTGCATCATTGTTTATAAATTATAAAATAAAATGATGTGTTGAGTTCTCTTAAACTTTTGGTGTAAATGACAATAAGCAGAAAATTCCAACATCTGATTAAGGCCAAGATACAATTATTTTAATGTACACATAAATTAAATTGATACCCTGCAAATTTCATGAAATTGGGACCAAAACAACAATTTTTGGTTTTCCAAATTTATTGCTGCAGCTGCATCAGTGGTGATTTTAGTTCCACCAGAGATTCTGTTTTACACTTTTATAGCAACAAGTCTTGAGCTAACTTTGATTTATTTTGTTTGCAGGAAACCAAGTTAAGCCCCAGAATTCGGGTGTTGACATCTAAGCCGCTTCATGGCAAAGAGTTGAATGGAAAGCTCTTTGCTTCCAATAGAGGGAAGCATAGCTTTTGAGGAAGAATTTCAAAAGATACAAGCATCTAGGCCTGATGTAAGTTGATTAATTATATTCCTGGAACTGTAAAGTTATTTCCTGTGCCATGTTATTTTATCAATGCATTTTTGTCACACGTTAATTAATTCTACTTGTGAGTCGCTACATTGATTTGTTTTTTCAACTATCTGCATGAATGGTAATGATCCTACTTAAAAGTGTTCTGTTATTTTTGTATGGTTTAAAACTGTTCCATGCTCTTTGCCAATGGAAAGTCTATTCTTAATGTGAATTTATTTCAGGTTTGGACATATATTGGAACAGAAAATCTAGCTGATAGCACTTTGGAACAGATGCTAATTTTGACTTACAAACACCAGAGGATCAAACTGAAACAGATTTTCTTCTAGCTGACAGTATGAATGGCTCCTTGAGGTAAAAATAAAGTTGAAATCTGACATAAATATACCTGACTTGCAATCATTTACAAAGTTCGATGATCTTGCCGTTTTCTGGAAGTTGGAAAAGTTGAAGAACATTTTGATTATGGGGTAACTTGCATTTGGAATCAGGTTTATCTCTCTGATAAAGTGAAGTTATCAGAGAGTTACTCAGCATATTTGCAGACCTCCAGGAGCTTCACTTCAAACATCATCAAGAATATCTTCTCTTAAGGTGACTTGAAAGCACTCTTCTTTGGCCACTGATGATGGTTCCAGGTCCCAGCATTGTATGTTGTATCCTTACTGTTGATTTTAGCGTATTCTTGTCTTTATTGCTTCACATAGAAACATAAATAATCGGTAATGAATCATATATGAGAAAAATAAAAAGAATGTTCCCTTCAATTTGGTTATTGAGTAGAAATCAATCTCTGGGTAATGCAAACAAGTGTCATGACCAGCCTGAGAGTATGAAGAGATCTTGGCTATAATTTTAGATCCTAGTTTTGAGACATATGAAATCTCAGCTGATTCATAAATGACAAAGTATTCTGTAAAAAGGGGTTGCAGCCTCTGGACTGCTGATTACACTTCTCATACAAGTAAAGCAGTGATTGGCAAGTTCTACTCACCCTTTTTTCCATTTGATTTTTATTCTATTATGTTAGTCTTAATTAGCTTTTAGTATTGCACTTGCTAAGGAACGAAGGCTGTATGACTTAATATATAAACATAGATTTGGTGCTCACATGTGAGATATATTCCAAAATCCTTGTAGCTTAGGGTTGCTAAATGTTGATTATGAACAGAAAAATGGGAGGGGTGACTTTTGCTTTCATGTGGTTGTCCCCATTAAACCTGTCTGCTTTGGATAGAATTCAACATATTTTGCTTGTGTCTCAACTTTTTACGCAAACCGGGTAATTCAGCCAGCATTACCTATATTTGTTACTATATGATTGCCGTATTCTGACTTCCCTCTCCTACTCCAAAATTAATACACTGGTAAATATATTCTGTCCAATTACCCATGTGTTCCTTCATTTGGTTGTTATAGGAACCAATCTTGGAGCTGATTTGGATGTGTCGCTGTAAGAGTGATGTCTTGTCACAACAGTTTGACTAGTCAGGAAGTTCTACGCAATTCAAAATTCTAAGATGCATTCTTCCATCAAAATAAATAAATAAATAAATTCTAAGAGGCATTCAAGTTGTCTAAAGATCATGATGCCGCATACATATAAGAATATATTGCAGTCTATATGCTTGTATCTTTTGTGATGCTGGTAATCATTACATCAATAGGCTTGAAGACCTGTTGGGTCAAATCCAAGACCTGACTGTTCAGTGGCCTTAATCTTGTCCAGATATTGGAGAAGCTTGAAAGCTACTTAATGTTTTAGTTTTAGAACATGTTAACAAGATATGTTGCATGTAAGCTTGGAGCAAGATTAAGCAACTCTTGAAATTGAATTAATTCTGAACCTTTGTTGTTGTAGGGAAATCTTGTTTTATGTGGACTTAGAAATGGAGCTATTGTCACAGTTGATGTTCATGAGAAGCAAGAAGGTGTTTCTGCTAGATTTATTTGGACACCGAATACCTTACTTGTCTTCAGTGAGAAGCGGATAAAAACAATGGTTTGAGGAATCATTGATTGCTTATTCTGAAATGATAATTCCTATTTCATATGGTCATATCTTTACTAGAAAGACACGTGAAAGATTATTCTGAATATAAATTTTTATTCTCAAATTCAATCAACCCATCTCATGACTTTGTCTTCGTATTCTCACAATCTGATGTGAGGCTAGTTAGTGAAAAACTTTGGACACTACAGTGGTTTAATTATGTTCAGTAGTTTGAAAAGAACTTATCAATTTCAATTTCTCTTCTTCACTATATGGTCTCACGCAATTCATTTGTTCACATTGTATGAGTTTTCCATCTCAAATCTTGCATATATTTACATTTGATGAAATTTTAACTTGGAAATGTTCCCATTGAATTTGTGCATAATTTTCTGGTGCTTATGTTTTGCAGCTCAAAGGACACATATCCCCTTCATCTATCATTTATATGCCTTCATCTGTCTCCAGGTTAGTGGGCTTTGATATATCTCATAAGGTTGCTTATAAGTGCAAAAAATGTGAAAGGGGTGTTTCAACTAGTACAAACTTAAAGTTTTAAGTTAGAGGTTTCAGGTTTGAACATTTTAAAAATGAGTAGGGAGACAAGGCAGGGAGGAAAGTGATTTGAAAAGAAGGCTATGCAATAGCCTGTCACCAGCTGTAACAAAAAAGGAAAGAATAACGGAGACATGGTGCTCATACTTGATTTAGGTTTTGCTGATCATAAACAGACATCTTCACTCTTTGTATGCTTTCACTGTTTCACATACAAAAGAAAAAAAAATCAAGGATACATCACTACAGGTGTAGCATGCACGCCATGTGTCATAAATGTTTGCTTAATCCACGAAAAAAGGTATGGCTTGATCTCTTCCTTATCTAACATCCATGAGTTTGGCACAATTCAGACTTTTCCTTTTAGGAAAGAAATTACCTTTATCAAAGACAGACAATCACTTCTTTTTCTGTTTTCTCCTACAAGAATTGGCTGTGAGTTTAATTAGCTGCAGGCCAACAGTGTCCCCTCGGAGTGGTACGGGCCCCAAGCAATTTATCAAAGACAGACAATCACTTCTTTTTCTCTTTTCTCCTCCTAGAATAGGCTGAGTTTAATCAGCTATAGGCCTACAGTGTACCCTGTGAGTGGTACAGGGCCCAAGCAATTAGTTACAGAGCACTGTTTTTCAATCAGAAATTGGAAAAATACCAATTTAGACTAGATATGACTACAATACCCTTAACATCCTGATCTTAGTTCAAATTATGAAAGGGCATAGTAGTCAACATAGACTCACTCAATGTTAGCTATTAGTTGGAGCGGTTGAGTCAATATTACTAAAGTATAAAATAAAGTAACAAATCTCCTCTAAATCAAAAGTAAAGACAGAATGATGATTTGATTGTCAAAAGTATACGAGCTCACCTTCTTCTCTCCCTTGCTCCATAACCTGCTGTCTCTGTCTTGACTTAAGCTGCTTTTTAACTAAATCTAGCCCAAATATCTTGATTCTTGATACCCATCAAAATCTTCAAATTGTTACATAAATGTGTGTTGAATCTATTCCTAAAGTGTTCCATTCAGAACAAATGCAAGGAAACGAAAACTAGAGTAAGAGGACAGGGAGGAGCCTTTATATGATGCTTCTGCTTAGCTTCAGCTTTTAAAAGAACCTGCAGAAGGGCTATTCTGGGAAAGTGACCCTTCACCACTGCTTTGGATGCCAGTAATAGTATTGACTTTACACGCAAAACTATGGTGTTTTGGGCCTTATTTCTTCTCTTTTTATCCCCTTTCATTATTACAGATGCAGTCTGGCTCTTGGCTTAAACAAAACCCACAGTCCAACATACAACTCTCAATCATTATGTCTCAATCAAATCACAACATTTTTACATTAACCGAACTAGAAAAGCTTCAATGGAAAAGAAATGCTTGTTTGGACCGTAGATGTAGTCATTAGATACAAAGTCATGCTTACATTTAAAGTTATAATTATTCGAACTGACGTTGCTTTGCTAGGCTAAACTGAAAATTCACAACCCTGAATCAAAATTCGAGTTCTCTATTTTAGTCACTAGGTCAATAAAATGTCCTTTTTCATTGACTCCATACCGTTGTAATTGGGGATGTATGTAATCAAGTAACGCTTTACCCCAACACAAACCAAAACCTCCACTTCAAGCCAAAAGCAATATTAAAAGAAGCTTCATTAAAATATATTTTGGATACTGTTTCAATTTGTTTGGTAATACTTTCACTAAAGTCTTCCATTTGGGGAAAAGATTGTGACTATTTGGATTAACATTTTTTGGTACAAGGTGGCCCCCTCATCTTAATTAATTAATCATAGATAAAGTTAATGAACATAAACTAGAGGAAGTAGTAATTAAATTACCTGCAACAATTAAGGGTATAGCTTATATATATAATCATGAGTCATGAGCATTCAAGAAAGAGATTGATCATTACTGGAATCACATATGCATCCCCACTGCTTCAATCATTGGTTGGTAAAATTGTGTTTCAGAGAAACAATAATAAGAATGTACTGTACTGATATCACACAATAATATCCAATTCCTGTAGAAGAAGAACTAAAAGGCACCTAAGGATACAGCTAGCCGGGTATGGCATATATATGATGAGCAGCTGCAGTACAAATTGTTAGCGTGTGAGATCAAGTCTTTAATGTGGCAGTTACATTTAGTTTATTTTACTTAGTGGTGTAGCAGTTTCTTTTTAGTTGGTAACTTCTTTTCATTTTCAGCAACTGTTATGTATAACCTTCTTTCTTTAAAATGTGAGTGTATGTCCGCTGCTATTTTCTGAAATATATCAGATACTGTTCATGTATTTCAACAGTGTTCTAT